AACCATTTAGCAATTGAAAATGAACATAATGAAATATTCCATGCCAAAGACTTGTTGCCAATATCATAATGCAGGAGAGGATCAAACTATACACATCAGCTGTTCTAGTAAACCTGTTAATTTTTCTTCTTAAACCGCAACCACACCTGAGATGAAAAAAGAATTATGTGGTACCAGTTTCAAAAGCGGAGCCCTAATGCTTTTGGAAGAAACAGCGCTTTCACAATACTGCTTTTAGTTTTTGTTGAAGTATAATGTCCAAGTAGACAAGTGATCATAATAAAGAAAAATGAAGAAGAAATAAAGAACACAAAAAAGCTACCAAAAAACAAACAAAACAAAAAAGTGAAACATGTGTATTTGAGCAGATGTATATAAGTCACATTTCCTCTTTGAAAGGGATGCAAACAATGCCCCTATCTATTAATTACTAACCTAATGCTTTTACAACAAGGGTAGAAAGAGCGTCAAGAGGACATTTTTATCAGTATTTTCACAGCCATATCCCATGTATTTATAATTCATGCAACAAAAATTCAAAACAAGCTCACAACAAACAACATTCTTCAAAGCTTTCCCATTTAATTGTCAGACTATTTTATTCTATAGTTTAATGACGCAATATTCCCTCTCAGACACACACACATACATACATCTTGCTTAAGAAAAAACAATAGCCAGAAAAATTATGCAACATAAATGCAAGCATCTGTCAATTTGACCAGCAAAAATTATGTAACATAAATGCAAGCATTTTTGTCAACTGTCAAATTTAACATTTTACAAAGGCAATATACAAGAAGGCATGAGTAATTGCACGGTCCACCCAGTTAATGAAGACAACCTCGTGAACACACAGTGGCCATCATTACGCAACATTAAGTCTGACCAAGGACCGATTGTGCCCTCTCTTTGTGGTGGAATGCTGGGATCCGGTGGGAACAGAAAACGGAATGAGATAAGTCTCTCCCCTGAATATAAACAGGCCCACAAACACATACAAACCAATGCCTTAAATAATAACCCCCCCCCCCTCGTTTCACTGATTTCATACATTCAGTCTTTTCATGCCACTGACAATTTCTTATTTATCACCAGCTGTACAGTGTTTTTCCACATAAATCATGAATAAATAAAGCACACAGCAATGCATTATGTACAGCTGCAAGCAAGCACCAGTCTCACTTCCAAGAGTAAAAAAAGCACACAAAATGGATGACTATCAGAACCTCTGAAAAGTGTAACGTAAAGAACTGTGATTTATGTTTCATTGTAAAAGTGAGGCCATCATAAATCATGAACGCACTGATGGACATTCTGTGACATGAATCATACAACAAAGATGATACAAAAGAGGAGTTATTATTTCTCCACCTGCATGGAGGTATTCAAACAAAATGCAACTGCAAGATGACCTAATTACTAAATTGCAAGACCTTTTTTATGAATGCAGTGCTTTCATCAAAGTCTTTGTCATCTACTCATTGGGTGTTCCAAGCCCCTCCCACCCCATTTCATTTGACTAAAAAATTAAACAATTACTGCTTCTCCAAGTAAGAGAGAAAACAAAAGGACAAAATAAACTGGGAGAAAGTAAGCCGTACTTCAGAAGGAAACTTGATCACATAATAAGGTTTGTACACGAGCTGACAGAAAAACCCCCCAAAAGAAATATAGAGCATTTCCATCTCCATGGCAACAATGTTTTTCTCGGTTCATTCATTGTCAGAAAAATTTTAAGTGAATGAGAACATTTAGGACTTGAAAAGCATTCGGCTCCATGGATACCATACGGTACCCCACATCTTGGCCAACAAAAATAGGGAGTATTTCTGGTTGTAGATTACACTACTAAGCTTCCAAAACCCTATAAGAATTGTAACAACAACTTATTGGCTATCCATAGGTGAATACAGGGATGCAAAAGTGTGTTGCTACTGAGGATGATTATTTGGAGAAATATGTAGATAAAAAAATGAAATATGTGGCATCATGGTGAATTCAGGCGCCAACCAAAAATGATGGAATCAAAGACAATTAATTTTCATGTTACGTGAAAAGTCTCATTTTGTTTGAATACCTCCTTGTATATCGACAGAGGTCACTAAAGCATAAGATCTTTACAACAAATTGTACTGTTAAAACTGCGAGTCACATATTATGAAACATACATTTGAACAGTCTGAGAGTTATCACACAAACATCACACAATAAAGCAAACATAGCACTGACTAGCTTAAAGTTGAAGATTACGTAAGAAAGTATCGGCCAACAGAAACACATAAACCTCCAACATATTTTTATTTTCTTCCAAAACATTTATTCTGTCAACAATCTGCAACATACACCTTGAAGCACAGATTCACATTTGTTTAAAAACAAATAAATTAGCAAATCTAACATTATTTTTTAGAAGACACCAGTCCACAGTTGCAAGAAAACACAACCGTTATATAATTTCTAGAACAGGCTCATCTATAGCTTTGCATATTATGGTTTTTTTTTTTTGTTGTAAGTGCTTTATGGCGCTCGCAACTGCATAAGGTCATATGAGCGCACGGGATACACCTAACATTTTCAGTCTGTAGGAAATTTACAATTTTTTTCCGGGTGGCGGCCGAAGCCTACTCTAATTGATTTTAGACCACAAAGGGATCTGTAACGTGTGCAACTTGCACACGGGCCCTTCAAGATTTTTCGCCCTTCTCCGAGAAGGCTAGGTGTTTATCTTTCCCACCAGAAGATTAAGGGTGTGGCTGAAAGACAACAGTGAGAAGGAGCCAAGGAGTAGCAGTAGAAAGGCTGTAGAAAGAGTCAGGAGCCCAGAGGAGGGGGCAAAGAAGGTGAGGGGGTGGGGCAGAAAGAGGAGACGAAAGCAGACGACAGAACATTGTTAGAGAGCAGGAAAAGAGGTGAACGGAGACAATTTTAGAGAAGAAAATTTTATGGTCGCTACCCGGATTCTAACCCGGGACCTTTGAATGAGAGGCCAACACCTTAACCTCTAGGCCACGAGAGCCCCCAATTTTATATTTATTCTTCTTGCAAGAGCATATTCGCCCAGAATCACAAAGACATCTTGCTTCCTGATCTGTACTGCAAGTATTGCACAAGAGAGAGAAATGGGTTACAGAGAAAGGGAGCAAATTGTCTAAGAGAAATACACCCAAACACAAAGTCATCTCACGATTGTGAAAAAATACACAAAAATAAATTTCAAGAACTTATAACTCAACACAGCCCAAGTTTTTTCCCCCGCAAACATCTTTGGCAAAGTAAATTACCCTCTGATATATAAGAAGCGCAGAGAAACATAGCAGATATCAAATATAAATCATGTTCTCAAGACAGAACTATATTCAAAGCTACTTAAAACTGAATCAATAATAATTATCCTTCCAAAATCTAGGACAGATCTATAAAAGCCTTTCTTAATTTGGTTTCACAGGCAAATCATAACAATCTGCTCACAACAAATCAGGGATCATTGGATAATTTGACGTTGTCCAGAACACAATCAGAGTTTTGTATTATTGCATAGCTTTCTTACAAGACAATGTAAGTTAATAGCTGAAATTCTGCTGCTGAAAAATTCGACAATGCAGACATCCACTAAAAGACAAAGTTTTGTTCCCCCCAGAACCATTTCATTTCCTAAAATCTTTAATGGCTATTGTGTTTGCTGTCTGCAACAACCAATGGCTGATCTTTTGACCTTTAGAAAACAACTTTACTACTGAACAATCATTTATTTCGGTGACCTCAAGGTCTTTGCAATGGAGATGACAATTCAATCTCAAGATGGCCTGGCAAGAACATTGCAGAAGGGAAAATACTAACAAACCCCCCCCCCCTCCTCAATGAGGAAGTCAATTTCAACTAACATATAAAGAACTCTGAATTAGGGACATCATCTCAATAGAGATCAGTAGAGATCAACGGTAGATCATGGGGGAAAATGGGAAAAAGACAGCAGCTAAAGTAAAAGTGAAAGTTAGATCGAAACCATTCTCGAGTTAAAAGAGAAAGACAAAGCAGCAAAGGCAAACACGTAACAGCTGAAAAAGCACACCATGATGCCAAAGAGTGCAGATCATCAATCATTTCACTGTACTCACTACAACCAAAGTTTTCACGCACCAACTCGTCTAAACAGCCATGTGCGCAATCATCTCAATACATAAAAGCAGACTGATACTGATAACACAAAAACAAATGTTTGTTGAGACAGAACAGTCTGTTGTCATATTGCTAACTGTAAGTCTTTGGCTGAGCAAATAGTAACCACAATAACAATACCATTGAAAAATGGAGACAAACAGATTAAAGTAATGAGTTAGGGAACGGAAAATCACGCAATGTTCATTTTTCTGTGGATGACACAGATGACTACGAAGACGATGATTTTGGCAACAGACAGGTACTGCAAGCTTTTGCGGCAAAACAGTTTAAGCTGCATCTTCATTACACAGGGATTCTCTGAATCACTACGTTAAGTGCTGCTCTCTACACCTGAGAAAAACTTGTCCAGTGTTAACTACAGAGATTAAAAAGGCATGTGAAGGCTATATTTACATGTACAACTAGTAGAATCCCCAACTTCCTTTGAGTGGACCTAAACTGGTTGTCACTATTGACCTAGAAAAAGTACGCCGGGCAGGGGAAGAAAATTTAAAGTATTTCCCCCGACACATTATGCTACGAAGCACAGTGCAGAGACAAGATTGGTAATCAGAACCTAGAACAGGCAAACTGATGTGATAGTCCTCCGAATGCACTGGACTAAAATGTGAACCCCATGACACAAACAGAAAAGAAAATAACTACCTACCTATTAGAAAATCAAAATCAGCACGAACGACAACAGAGCTTTTCTTGTTCCCTTGCTTATTTTATGAGGAAAGGGAATTATTTAACCCCCCCCCCCCCAAACAAAAACTCACACAAAAACAAAAACAACAACAACAAAAAACAACAACAACAAAAAACAACCCACAATGAAACAGGACTTCAGGATTTTTTTACTGCAAATTCCAGTCATGATGACTACCTATCAATTACATGCACATTTCATTATCAGTTTGGCGTATGAGGAGGTAGTAATACAGAAAGCCCTTGTGCTTTAAAAGGATTATTCTTGCTCAATTTATAAAAATAGAGAGCATGAGATATGAATTCTTATAACCCTTACCGCATTTAAAATCCTCTTGAAAGAACAAGATTGAAGAGAAAATGTTAGCTTGAACATGTTTAAAAAAAAATTAAACCAGCTGCAATAAAAATGAAGCTCAGATTTAATTATGCAAGCCAATTTATCACGAAAGCAAAAAACATGCTTAAGCCAATAAATGTATAAAATGTTTAGTGAGAACCACATGAAATTTTGCCTAAATTTTCACATATTTCTACATGTGTATATACGAGGGATAAAATATTAGAACCACAGAAAGGGCATGAACATCCACATGAAAATTGACAAGAGTTTCGATACACCCAAGGGCCTAATTTAATTGCTAATGGGTACAATAAAATAGATGACTTAGCATTGACAGCCACAAGAAAATTACCCAAAGTTCTCATATACCTACATGTATGTGAACAGACAGTTGACAAAACAGCATCTCCGGTATATCAACTAGTAATTACCTCATAAACAACACACGCACACAAATGCACATACACACAGACGCCTCCAGACCATCTAATGTGAGAGTGATTTGTCCCACATTCCTCTGTCTCATAACATCGTCAGGTCAGTGCGTGAGCACAGGCTTCTGTTTCACCTCTAGAACATCTGTGGATCATCAGACATTATAAAGTTATTCTTTGTTTGTTTGTTTTAGTAAAAAGCACATCGACACAATAATGGTCATTTAGTGCTGGGAAAAGGTTAGACAGACAGACAGAAACAACACAGGGAAAGTAAAGAAGCAGGACCTATCAGTGGCACCGTCCAACCACCCACCACAACGAGTTAGTTTTTTAGTTTTAGTAAGAGTTTTACGGCACTTGCAACACAATAAGGTCATATAAGTACCGAAGATTAGAGGAGTTACAGAAGAGTAACAAACACAAAAAAGAAGGAAAGATAAAGACGATAGATGTTTAATAGGAAAGAAGAAGCAAACCACACCCGAGCACAAACCAACCACCCACACAAGTTAAAAGTAAAGCGTCTCAGAAGGGTTCTTCAAATATACACGGGACAGCCACCATCAGCAATCACACACCCAGGTCGAAAACACACCACCAAACTATAGAAGAAGCAACATTCAAAAGACAGAGCAGATGGTTCTGTCAAATGTCCTAAAAGCCAGTAGCCAGCATCACAAGCCCTATGCTGGTATCCGCTAGGGAAACAGATGAGAGGCTGACCAAAGTACACATGGCGCCCATATTGAAGGGGACACAAGGAGGTTGGGGTATACCTGAGGACAGCTGGAGAAAGCCCTGAATCAAGACGCATGGACATCTATAGTCGGTGTCTTATTTCCCTGTTGTGACCTCAGGCAATGACGACGAACAATACATCAAAGTGCACCATATATATCCATCTGAGCACAGATGGTTATGGGTGCAGTACTACAAATAGAGGGGTCGCACATGTGGGCCAGCACTCAATATTCTTATATGCCTATTACTGCCAAACCCACTGGGAGGTACATGTAAACATATATCAACAAAATAAAAATACTAAGGTAATTCACAAAATAATCCCTTACTGTTCAAATAGGCATCCTGCTTATGGCAAATATTACATGTGTATTCTCCCCCCCCCCTCCATACTAATCCATTTGCAAATGGCCACTGGATGACTGAGAACCAAATCTGAGATAAGAAACCACAAAACGACAACATCTTTTAACAACAGCACTTTTATAAGATCTGCATTTCAACAAAAACTATATACAGGTTACCTACCCCCAATTATTCGATGCCAGGGAAGCATGACATATGTTAAGTTGGCGTTCAGAGCGACACAGGAGGCTCTCTTCTTCTCTTTGAACCAATGCCAGGCCTGGCCGAAGGATTTACCCCAGAAACCATTGTACTGGTCCGCATCAGTCAGCTCTGAGAAGAAAAATTTAAGAGAAACATGCCATGTGGATTAAATCTTTTTTATCACATAAGTGTTTGTACACCCCCATCAACACAATTTCGATCATATAGGAGGACGGCTTCAAGTGATCCAACATCCCAACAGAAATACTAAAGACACTGAATAAAAATTCTTCTGACACGGGAATCAAACTTAGGGTCTTATGTGGGTAATGACAAAGGGCGTAACTGCTACACATCAAACTATAACAATGTTGATAAGTCCATCAATCACAAAGTAGACCTAAAAAGTGAAGAGTTTTTAAATAAGAGTTTTACGGCACTTGCAACACAATACGGTCATATAAGTGCCAAAGATTAGAGGTGCTACAAGAGAGTAAAAAACATAAAAAAGAAGGAGGAGAGATCAGGACGATAAATGTTTGATAGGAAAGAAGGAGCAACAAACTACACCAGAGCACCCGCAAACCACCCGCAAAAGTGAAGAACATGGTGAGAGGACAGGAGAAAAAAAATAATAATACAGAGCAATTACTTGGCTGTAGGGTGAAGGCCCACAAGCTACAAGATAAGAAAGACTGTTGATAAGACGTGTGGCTACTTAAAAATACAATCCCCACTCTATACACACTTTTATACAGATAATGTTGTAATCTAGACACATTGGTTATGTGACCTTACCCATTTGGCAAATAAATAATCCGTAATAATATTCCAACTGATAACAGAGAGTCCAACCAAAAAAAAACCCCCCCATCAAAAGTAGTTAAGCCCATGAACCACAATCAGAAAATACACATTGAACTTCCAAATAACAAGCACAAGAAAAAAGTCAAAGAAAGAAACAAAAGACACAAATTGAGGACATCCATGCAATCCAAATGGCGGCCCGATCTCCTAAACCAAAAGCAAACTGAGTACAGTTCACCTCTCCTGCCTCTTCCTTTCACAGGAATAAAATCCGTGACTCAAGTCATTTTGCACTTCTGCTGACCATTCATTCATCTTAACTCGACCCAGGCATACCATCACATATGTGTGTCTTTTCTTGTCCATGATCTCTCAACAGTCACACAAAATGTGAGGATATCTATGAAAGGTCACAGTAAAGTTTGATACACAACATGCAGAAATAAACCGAGCATAGACCAGCTAGGTCATTCAGTTTTTTTGTTTTTTTGCCATGAGTATTTAGAAGCCTGCTCATGTAGTACCTCTTTCCAAAAGAAATAAAAACTTGAGGCACATTGAAAAGAAAGTGTGCTTGGAACTTATGCTTAGTGCTACTTTCAAAGCCAAGGAAGGTCACAATTACAATGTCTGAGGGAATTTAGGGAAATACTGAAAATAAATTTCCTTGACTTTGAAGAGTGTGAAAAGGATCCTATGAATGCGCATTCCATTTTTAAATGAGTGAATGAGCCTTATCAAGTACTGTGTGTTTAAATAAAGGAAGAAGCTCTTCGACAACTTTTTAAACCTAAACTACAAAGTCATCTCCAATGGTATCTTTAAAGCAAAAACATTTGTATACTGGCAACAATCAACATTCACATATTGACAATCAGTTTCAAACAAAGAATACACAAGTCTACAATGAAAGGCAAAGTATGGTACTATAACAAAATGAATATATATACCTCATGTAGGAAAGAGATGAAAGAAAGGACAGTGGAAGTACAAAACAAACAAGGAATATTATCATCAAAAAGAGGGCCGGAAAGAAAAACATGCACAAACTATTTTTTTAAAAATGATATACATATTTTCCCCATTTCTTTTCTTTCAACATTCTGAAAAGTTTTAATCAGCTGATTGTACATTTTAAGAACAAAATGAGCATAGAAAACCCGAAAACATTGATTAAATACATAAACAAGACCTTTGAAGAGATTTTTCTTGTTATCTTCATACCCATTTACTCACATTCATCTTTTCGATGTGACACATTTTTTTCCTTTTTAATAAAAAAAAGTAGAAGTTTTGGTAAAATTCACTGTAAAGAAGACATATTCATAAACCATTTACAGTAGCAGAAAAAAAATTGGGGAGGGGGGGGATCTTTTTTCTCTGCCAGTTGACACCTCTGATACCAGACCTGATGCTGTTTAGAATTGTATGATGTTGTCAGATCATAGTAACACAGGTCAGGAATAGCTGTGAAATATAACTGACGAGGAATCGGATGTAAAAATTGCACAAGAAAACAAAACAATAACAAAAACACTCAACAACATCCTCGAAAAGTATTACACATTGAATAGGAGTATGAAAGAAAAAAAGAACAAGAAAAAGGGTGAGTCCCCATACCATCCTGCAATGTACCTGCCTCCACCTCGGTACCATCCTCTCCAGCGGAAGCATCGACCCCTTCCGTTTCTGAGCGAGACTTCTTCATACTAAGCGCTCGACGGAAACCACCACGGACATAATTGGTTATGCCTTGGCTCGGGTCGCTCATGCGACGATGGGAATACTGATCCTGTGGACCACACAAAAATATTGTCACGTATCGAGTCAGTTTTTCGAGGTAAATTGATACTTTACAAGTATACCAATGGTAATATCACCAATAACTATTATTTCATGAATAATTTACACTTAAACTGAAGACATTACCCCCAGGGCGGTGCTACTGACGGATGTGTCTTTAGACCATTCCCAAAGGGGGGACATTAACACGTTCTTATGCACAGTAGAATTGTAAATTGTAAATGGGCTGATTCATCAATGTCAAGCTCATAACTGTGCCTGAACTGCAACGGGGAACTGCTGTCTTTTCTTTTTTAATCCTTACTTTCGTCATTTTTTCTTTTACTTCTTTTGCATGTTTGTCACACTCTTGTGACCCGCTATTTCCGGGGTGCCTTGATAGTCAAAGCACACTTTGTGCTGTTGAAGCTAGAGAGGTGACAGAGTAAGTCTGATTCCCTGTATGGTCTTCTCTGTTGCCATCCACCCCTTGGCGCTCATATGACCTTATACAGTTGCGAGCGCCGTAAAAACTCTACCAAAACTAAAAAAACTGAAGTCACAAACTTTTTCAAAACGATTTCAGTTACCGAATAAAGCTATCATTTAAGAAAAAAACCCCCAAACAACCCAGTTTGTGACAAAAAGATAGGGCAAGCCCAACACACACAAGAACTGTGACAGAAATAAACCAAATAATACAATAAGACAACACTAATATAACAGATAAAGATTTTTACAAGTATATGCTGAAATTTTAAAGTAATGCGTATTGTTTCTACAGATTGCAATTTGACTATAGCATAAGAATGAGCATAACAGCTGCTGCTGCTAGGGGCATATCTCATACAGTGCAATTATAACTACAACATAAAATAAAATTGTTTAAATAATCATCTCACTCACTTCTGATTCGCCATCCTCAAAATCTCCAACAGGGAAATTTTCAAGGTCTGGTGTTTCAGGGCCGGACCCTTTCAATCGACTGACTGCCATTTCAGCGCAGCCTTTTCCCCTGGGCCCCCTCATCTTGAGGAACTCCACTCTTTTCTTATTCTTGATGAGCCCCATGGACATCCTTTGGGTGAGCTTTTGTGTGAGACTTGCCTGGAACAAATAAATCGTTGTCAGACTTTGATTTTGCATACAAACTGGCTCAATTCAAAATTATGGACATTCAATACAAGGTCTGTAAAAGATCTAAAACAATGAGAAACACAGGTAGTATGACATACACTTTTTGTCAGTCTCGTTTTCATATTTTACACCGAGCAGCACAGTTGTACCTTTCCATACCAAATAATCCTTGAAGCTTCATTGAGCAGTTGTGGACTGGCATGATACGGAATAGGTACAGCACTCCTTTCAACACTAAAAGTTAATTTAAGAGGAGGGAACTCCCATATTTTACATCCGTACCGGCCAGAACTAAGCAGATTGGGTGGGGAATCTTAGTAACTTCCCAAATAGTCCAAGTAAAAAAAGTCACTGCCTTTGCATTATCTCATAATGTTACGCTTAAAACTTTGATAGGTCTAATCTGCTTATGAAATTAGTTAAGCTTCTTTATTTCCCACAGCACTTCCCCTCACTTTCCCTCATACAACAAACAACAAAAATGTCCACCGACAAGACACATTCCTGTTCAAATACCTCTGAAAGGAAAAATCTTAAAACAAGATACATGGAATACCAAAAGGCAAAATGCTCAACAAAAACTTCTCATACAACATAGTTTTTACACAGACACAACTCACCCGATTGTCGTAGACGCGTTTCAGCGCATCATATTTGACAGAGCCAAGGAAAATGACACTTGAAAAGTGGCCCCCCTTATCTCTTGCTGTCAGTTCTACCGCTACACTCTCAGAGTCTCGAACAATGAGATCTTGGAAGGCCTAAAAATAAATTGTTAAACAGCAAGATTTTTAAAATCATGCAACACATCATTAATTCATGAAAGAAAATCATAGCTTAGTTCGGACCCCCCCCCCCCCAAAAAAAAAAAAAACCCACCCAGAAAGAATAAAGAAATTGGATCTTCACAGCTGTGGTCAGGTATCTCTTATTGTAAGTGCCATTACATCTAGAAGGACTTCAATAATCCATCTACAGTGATGCAAAGTGTCAAGAAAAATACGGAGAGGTGGTCTAGTGGTTGGGCTCTCAGACTCGCAACTATAAGGTCATGGGTTCGAATCCTGTCAGGGGCCTGACGTTGTGTCCTTGGGAAAGGCACTTTATACTAATTTTCTTAACCCAGGTGGGAATAGACAGGGAAAGACCTTGCCAGTTTGTTAGTATTTGAGTGCTCAATCAGCTGCTTGCACAGTATAATTCCCAGGAAGCAGAGAATGTTTCTAAGTGTTCTATGGTCTGCTGGGGTAATAATAATATAGTGTAAAGCGCATAGAGCTTGCCATCGAGCGGGGATATGCGCTATACAAATGCTATCTTTATTATTATTATATATCCTAACTATTCACCCAACACTCTCAACATCTCACATGGGAAGTGGGTGTCGTGAGGTGCTGGTCTGTGGCTCTGAACTGCTATTTGAACCCAGTGTTTTGTTTACCTTTTGACATTGCTTTTCTAATGCGAGCTGATTGAGTGCTCTAATCCGTGTTGCAATTTTAGTTTTAGTTTTAGTAGAGGTTTTATTGCGCTCGCAACTGCATAAGGTCATATGAGCGTAAAAAAATTAGAGGTGTTACAAGAGAGTAACAAACATAAAAAAGGAGGGGAGATAAGGACGATAGATGTTTGACAGGAAAGAAGAAGCAGCTATTTGTCTCTCACAAAAATTCCTTTGTTCCAAATACTATCCTGGACATTTACAAACATGAACGAAATATCAGACAAAAACGGAAATGAACAAACCTCTTCGAAATCATCAACTGTGAAAAAAATGTTTGGGTACGTAATTTCTTCATGGGTGCCCTTACTATCCATGGACCGTTTGCTTGGACTAGGATAGACTCTCTGAGGACAATAAAAGTGAAACAAATTGAAATAAATGTAATTAATTTTAATGTTTTCGCTCAAGCATTCTTTGCAAAACACATTGCATCTTTTTATAAGAGGACTATTGAGTTTTGGGTAAGTGCTCTGGTGTGGTTTTCTCCTTCTTTCCTATCAAATATCTATTATCATTTATTTTTTTATTTTTTTTGGGGGGGGGGTTCCCTTCTTATTTGGTTTGTATGTTACTCTCTAGTAACATCATTAATCTTCAGAACTAAAACTAAAAGAAAAAACCCCCATTAGTACAGCAATAAGTGGGCTACAATTTTTCTTTATTATCTTTATATCACTTTGAATAAAACATATTTTGACTGGTGGACCAAAAAAATCAAGACGTAACGATTTCAATCCATAAAAAACATTAAAGCCACATCTCGTTGTGAATATTACCTCATTCTTAACGTCACTAATGCAACTGTCTAACACCAGGGAACATTTACTAAAATTAACAGCTGAAGACTTCCTCCTTAAAGGAAAACTTTATATATATAGAGAGAGATTAAACGCACTAGAGAATAAAATGTTGTTGATGTTACTGATCCAGGGAAGATAAAATAATCTTATATAAAATTAAAGAGTCATGACTATAATGATTTAACTTTTTGAAAAGTTGTCAATTATACTTTTAAAAAATGAAATCTTACTTGTGAGAACTTCTTCAGGATCTGTAAATTCTGCTCTGCAGTTCTTGTGCACAAACCGCAAGTGATTGTGTACTCAAACTGTGGAAAATAATGTAGACGAATGAAGGTTAAATAAGCTTAAGTTGGCCTATTACTTACAAAAATATGGGTTACTATGACCAGATAGTTCAGACATGGAAAGCTGGGAACAAACAGTGGGATGCTGGACGGCATGGTGTTGTGTTAACTATTTTGAATAAGTCATGTATGAGAAAACATTAAATTCTTCCTACTGACTCCTGAAAGATGCGTAAAACACTGTGCAAGATATGTAAGTAGAAAATTTCTTCCTGTAACCCAGGTGTTCATATATCTACACAGACATAATCTACAGTGAGTTTTCCTTTCAAAATGAATTAATTGTGAGACATGCAAGCGACATGAGTTAGGACTTTCACAAATACTGAAAGTAGGAGCAATATAACAAAGTCACCAATTCTCAAAAGATATGAAGAGATCAAGTCATCTTGAATTAATTCCCAAGGAAAAAGCGAAGTCTGAAATGACATACAGTCCAGACAACTTCTGATCCATTTCTTACCACAAAGAAACATGAAATAAAAACGTACTAAACATTTTTGGCAATCAAGCTTATAAAAGAAGCTTTAAGTGTTCAAGGAAAAAAAAGGGATGACATATTTGTAAATTTTACCTGGTGTAAAATTATGTTGAGATAAACTGTTTCTTCCCAGTCTATAGAAGGCTCATCTAGGGCAGGAAGCCTCTTTGAGTCTCTTCTGTATACCTCCACCAGTGGCTGAGGAAAGTGACAGTAACCATGAGATCAAATGTTATGTGACTTCAAATACAGCAAATCAAAGAAACCTTTCACCAAGGAAAAAGACAGCAGCCATGACTCTATAACAGACAATTTATTTTGCTGTAAAATATTTATCATTTTATATAATTCCGGTGGCGCCAGCCTTTGTATCACTTTTCAGAATACCCCTACAAACATGATGGAGCCAGATTTTCATGTGATTTCAAACTTACAGCTCTATAAAATAGTAGGTTTCATTCACTATGAGTACTTTTATAAAGTGCTCTAGAATTGAGCCTTTGGTTTCCTATTTCCCTTTTTCAAAATGTGAGTGCCCACTGCTCAGTAAAGGTTCAAAGCTGCACAGAAAAAAATACTGGAATCACAAAACATTTAATTAGTAATAATGGTATATATGCCAAACATGGTAGAAGTCTGGTCTCTCTTGGATCATAAAAGAATAACAAATATTTCAGGGGTAACATAAGCGGAGTCAGCAGCATGCTAGAAGGTATTTATTTTTCCACATAAACAGAACAGAGTAACTGTATATGACTATTAACACCAAATTCAAATTTTACATACAATCATGTCCCGTTGGAAAGGTGAAGGTGCACCAAAAAATATCAGATGTAAGGCCAAACAACAAGAGGAACACACCTGGATTTAAAAGACATATCAGAAAACTTGAACTTGAGCACTACCTTACAGCAAAACAATATAAACCCTCTTGAGTTCACTAGAGGTACAAACAACAGACTGTTGGATTTTGAGATTCCTTTCCAGCAAAATGTAACACCTATATTCTGCTAAATACTAAATGTCAATGCATTTCAGGTTTGAAAACTTGTGAAAATTCAACTAAGGCTACTGAAAGCCCCTGACCAGACTGAGACTCATGTACAGTGGTACTGGAGGAAACTACATTGCATTAGAATCAATTAAGAGACTGATATTATGAGGTTAAATTTTGGAGCAAAAACCCTGAAAGATGTTATTTATGTGAAGCTAGTAATACTACTGGGGGAGACGGAGAAAGGATTGGATGGTGGTGGGTTAGCAATCTAAGTTATATGAGAAACTTGGTTCATGATCCCGTGGTTACCATTTTCAACATTTGAATTGGGACAATAGTTACAACCTTTTCATTTCAAATTAAAGAGAGTTTAAGCACTATTTGCACACACCTGGATCATGCCATGTCTGTTTTTTAGCTCAGGGTTTTTACGAATGTAAAAGAGCATGTCATCACGGCTGTCATCCGGTGATGATCCGCCATTCAGGAAATGTTGAGCAAAGAGGTCAGGCCAAAACTGGTTTGTGTTCACCAATTCAAACCCAGAGTCTGAAAACAGAAAAACAGATGCACCATCAAAAGAACACAAGAGTAAATAAAGTTGTAGCAACATGACATCAATAAACCTACCCCAATGGAAAGAATGATCTCTTAAAGTAAGGTTGAAATAAAAGTGGAATCTCTCAGATCCGTCTAGGTGGCTTCAGAAAGGAAAGGAAGCACACAACACGAGATAATGTGAAAGATGGATGAGAAGACAAGCACCTTTCTGTAATACTAATAGACTTGAACTACTGAAAGGTTCTTCGTTACTGCTTGGCTAGAGAAATTCATCTGACATATATGATTCCTTTATTGTGATCCGATCAGTATTCACTTAACTTCCCAAAACACTTAATCACTAAAAATACGATTTTCCTCAGAAATTCCCCTAGAATTAAAGTTTATCTCTAGAAATACAGTAGATTAAGATTACATTACAACCTGACATTGACAAATAAACGCATATTGTAAATAAATGCATGAATTTCATGACACAATAAGTTGCAAAAATGTTGCAAATAATTCTGGGTATTATTTTTGCATCATTGACAATGAGTTGTAAACAACTGAAGGGCACAAGAGAAAAGCCAATGATGTCAGTTTTTTTTCATTTTCTGGATTATTGTCCCAACATGATGTCTGGCGGGGTCTGCTTTAGACCATCTAAGTCACATACGGAAAAACCAGCGCTGCCAGTCTCTGTGAGAGTTAGAAAATATAGCTCACAATGGAAGAACCAGCGATGTCAGGATGTTAACAACGGAAAAACCTGCACGCTTTTCTTTGTTGCGTCCCTTTGACTTTGTGACCAACCAGTGATCATATTTCCCAAAAAAATTGTGAAATGGTATAGTTTAACGCCCTTGTGAGCACTATTAAGTTATATAAGAGGCGAGACCTCCGAGTTCAACGTCCATCCCCGAAAGGACCAAGCCTAACTTGACGTTCATTTAAAGTGCCTTTCCCAAGGACACAGCGTCGGATTGAA